TAGAGAGAAGATTGAGGTTGTCAAAGAATTCACGTTGCTTGGTTCTATAATCGATGCCAATGGAAGCAGCAGTCAGGACATTAGATGACGTGAAGCATTGGGAAGGTCAACCGTGAAGGAACTGTTTCAAGTGCTGAGGAGCAAGGATGTCTCCTTGAGGACTAAGGTGCGCCTGACACAAGCCATGATATTTCCAGTTGCCTCGTATGCATGTGAGAGCTGGACAATGAATAAGGAAGACCGAAGAAGAGTTGATGCTTTTGAGTTGTGGTGCTGGTGAAGAATGCTGAAAGTACCACGGACTGCTAAAAGAACTAACAGATCTGTCCTGGAGGAAGTATACCCGAAATGCTCCTTGGAAGTGAGAATGGCCAGACTTCGTCTCACCTATTTTGGTCATGTTGTCAGGAGGGACCATTCCTTAGAGAAAGATGTCATGCTTCGTAGGGTGGAGGGTGGAGGGTCAATGAAAGAGGGGGAGGCCTTTAGTGAGATGGATTGACACGGTGGCTGTGATGATGGGCTCAAGTATAGCAGGGATTGTGGAGCTGGTGGGGGATCGGGCAGTGTTTCTTTCTGCTGTGCATGGGGTCGCTATGAGTTGGAAAGGACTCGACAGCATCTAACAACAACAAAAAACATATCTGTTTGATAATGATTGATAACGAGCGACACTTAACCTATAGATCCATGTTAGAGGGTTTCACAAGTTTCTTTAACTGTTTGGGTTTATACAGCAGCTAAGGTTCAGGAGCCACTGTGCCACACTACTCCCCTTATTAGTATAATAATTATTATTATTGTTTTTTAAGTGTCCCTAAAGTTTTATTAGAATAGACATGTCCATTTGTTGAAACATATCTATGGCTGCTTTCCAAGGAGCCCTGATGGCATAGTTATTAAGCACTCAACAGCCAACTGAAAGGTCAATCAATAGATTGAACCCACCAGCTGTTACATGAGAGAAAGATGAAGCAGTCTGCTTCTGTAAAGATGACAGCCTTGGAAACCCTACAGGGCAGTTCTGCTCTGTCTTCTAGGGGCACTGTGGGTTGGAGTTGACTCCACAGCAGTGGGTTTGGTTTGGGCTTTGCTTTTGTAAAGTTTGACAGCCTTACAAGCCCTCCGGGACAGTTGTACCCTGTCCTATAAGGTCACTATGAGTTGGAATCGATAGCAGTAGGTTTGGTTCAGTTTCTCATCTGAGTGGCTGCTTCCAAGCTAGAACACAGAGGTGACTCATGACAGAGACAGCATGGCTTATAAAACCTGAAATATCCACTAGCTGATTCTTCATAGGAACTCCCTGCTGTAGGAGTTCAGAGAGACAATCATAGGGTATGGGCAGGAGAGGCTGGTCTTCGCAGTACTGAGGACTGAAGTGGTATCAAGCCTCAGGAATTATCCATAGCACAGTCCAGAGAGGCTTGGCAAGATGGGGTGTTATTTGCTGACTTAACTTAGTGTTGTTAGGTGCCGTCGAGTCACCTCCGACCCATAGCAACCCCGTGTACAATGGAATAGAACACGCCCAGGTTGTGCCGTGCTCACAGTCGTTGCTGTGTTTGAGCCTGTTGTTGCAGCCACTGTGTCAGTCCGTCTTGTTGAGGGTCTTCAGATTTTTCGCTGACACTCTGCTTTGCCAAGCGTGATGTCCTTCTCCGGGGACTGGTCCCTCCTGATCCATGAGCAGAGTACATGAGATGAAGCCTTGCCATTTCTGAGGGAATGTTCTGGCTGGACTTCTTCCAAGGCAGGTGTGCTTTCCTCCTGGCCACCCATGGTGCGTGCCCTGCTCTTCAGCAGCGCCCTCGTTCAAAGGCATCGCTTCTTCGTCAGTCTACCTCACTCGTCGTCTGCTTTATATTGCAGATGAGGTGGCTGAAAATACCACGGCTCAGGTCAGGTGCACCTCAGTCTTCAAGGTGACATCTTTGCTTTTTAATGCGTGAAAGAGGTCTTTGGCGGCAGATTTTCCCAGTGCAGTATGCCATCTGCTTTCCTGACTGCTGCTTCCATGGGCATTGATTGTGGATCCAAGGAAAATGAAATCCTTGGCAGCTTTCATCTTTTCTCCATTTGTGCGGCTTTTGGCTCACTGTAATTTAGCCATGAAAATCAGAGAAGTGTTCCTGACGCGTTACTACCATATGATCCTCGGACCCATGCAGATTTTGCTAAATATTCTGATGTGTGTGTGAGTGTGTGTGTGAGAGAGTGATTGTGTGACTGTATGTATGTGTGTGAGTGTATGTGTGGGAGAGTGTGCGTATATGTGTCTAATGTGTGTATGAGTGTGTGTGAGAGAGTGTGTGACTGTATGTATATGTGTGAGTGTATGTGTGAGAGTGTGTGTATATGTGTCTAATGTGTGTATGAGTGTGCGTGTGTGTGAGAGTGTGTGTAACTATGTATGTGTGTGTGTGTGTGTGAGCGAGAGAGTGTTTGGTTATGTGTGTGACTGTGTGTGAGAGAGTGTTTGTGTGTGTGACTGTATGTAGGTGTGTGAGTGTATGTGTGTGAGAGTGTGTGTATATGTGTGTGTGTTTTCTGAGCAGGAGTAACCACCAACAGTGCCTTTACTTCATATATTGAAAATACTGGTTTGTTTCTATGGTGCCTTGGTCATTTCTTTTTAGAGAGATTCAGATATAGTAGAATATTTTCTATGCCAAAAACCCTTTAGACAAAGCACAAGAGTCCTAACTGGCTTTACCAATTTAGAGGTTTGTGGAGCATCTGCTAGTCTTGTGGCATCATGGTAACGTGGCCTGTAGTGTCTTGAGCAGTGCTTTCTTTCTTGATCTTAGAAATGTCATCTCAGGTATCAATGATGCCAAGATTGTGTTGAACCAAAGTGTAAATAAGGAAAACAGTAAAGTCCTTTGAGACTTATTTTTCTTTTTCCCACTTCCTCCCTGTACTTACCTCTTCCCTGTGTCCTCTCCCATGCGTTCCTGCGCCCCGAGCCATCTTCCTATGCAAACAATGCCCCTCTGTTCCCCCAGACTTGATCGCTCCAAGGAGAGTATCCACCGGACGTAAATGTTCACCCCATGCACCTGTCCACTGAGACTTATATCCACACATTACGTACAGCGCACTCCAGACTTTGTTGAAAATACTAGCCTTTCTGTGCCCTGTGACATTAAGAGAATGCTTCTGGGGAACAAAGCAGAGAAGGCATTTCCTGAGAAGTTCTTCCTCTCAGACCTTCACAATGTGCTTACAGTGTAGACCAGGACCTGGGTTCTCCTCCTTGTTCTTTATCCTGTAAGCACTGTACCCAGGAAGCACTGAGCCAGATGAGTTCCACAGTTTCAGCTGTCAGGGTGCCTGCAGGGGACATATTTCTAGCTGGCAGCATGGCTGGGGACAACAGTCTACTGAGAGTCACAGTACCCAGGCCTGGTGTATGTCTTGGAAGCTGGAGAATTGGACCAGAAGTTCTCAGACTACTGCGTTCTCATGGGAGGAGGCAGGGTCGCATCATGTCTTGGACCTGATCAGTGTTCACACACCGGGCTTCATGATGCTTCTGCTTTGGTTGCTTTTGGTTGCCCTTCCCCTGAGTCACCCTCTCCTCCTTTTGTCATTAAGCACTGGAGCCTGCCACTGTGCTGGGTGCCCACAAAGCCCATGAAACCCAGGCCCTCTAGGAAGGCTTACAGCCTAAAAAGAGGGCAGGAGAGGACTCAGTCAGATGTTGCAGGTGCTTGGACAGGAATGTGTGTGCATCAAGGACACAAGCGTCCACATCTAACCACAGCCTTTGAGAGCTTGAGTTATCCTGACAGCGAGTGGATGAGAGAGGAGACTCAGCAGCAGAGTAGTGACAAATGTTTCTTTGAAGAAGTGGGATGTGGCTGGCGGTAGCTGCTGTGGCATCTGCTACCCCATGGGTCGCTGGCAATGGTTTGGCTAGTGTAGCTTGGGTAGAGGGTCATCCTACCCTGTTCCGTGTTCCCTGCGTGTGTTCCACCTCACACGTGCTTTCATGGAAGGTGTGTTTTCTGTGGAAAAGAGAGAAAGCAAGTGCACTGGGAAAACTGAGGCTGCAGGATTGGCTGACGGGATTCATGTGCTTGTCAGCTGTGTGGCCTGGGTGGGCCGCTTCACCTGGATTGGGCAGTTCCGTCTGGTGTCAAGTCGTACTTGTCCCTGACCAGCCTGCAGGATGGATGAGAGGGTCTCGAGGAGAGATGCACAGTGCTCCAGATTGGCCGACAGTGTTCCCGTGGGCTTTGTGGGCTTTATTCTGATTGCTTCCCTCTTTAAAGTACATACAGAGGTAGGTTATGAGTGTGTCACTGGATGTGCCCTTAACACAGGCCGACCGAGACACCGTTCTGATGAGAGTGTCTGGTTCCTCAACTCCTTTCTCCCCGCTGGACACTGGAGCCTGATCAGTTATGTTTCCCCTGAAAGAGCATAATGTCTCTTTTATTTATTTATTTATTTTTTTTAAAAAAAAAACCTGTTTTAGAAGCTCTAATGTCCATTTGAGGAGCTGTGGTAGCATAGTGCCTAAGGCATTTGACTGCTAACCAGAAGGCTGAAGGTTCAAACTCAAGAGCCACTCCTTGGAAGGAAGATTGTATTATCTATTTCTGTAGTGATACCACCTTGGAAACCCAAGGAGGGGTCACTGTGAATCGTATCTGACTTGGTGGCAAGTGAATTTGGTTTAGGAGCTCTGGTAGTGTAGTGCCTAAGGCACTTGACTGCTAACCAGAAGGCTGGCAGTTCAAACCCACTAGCCACTCCTCAGAAGGAAGGTTGGGCAATCTACTTCGTAGTGATACCCCCTTGGAAACCCAAGGAGGGGTCACTGTGAGTCGGGTCCGACTTGGCCCATAACAGCAATGTTCATTTAACCATTTTTTAACAACTGTTGTTCACGTGACCTTATAAAGACATGCCCTTTAGTCACCTTCGGTGTCTTTAGTCACTTTCAGTGGTGCTTGGAGTGATGTACACATTCAACTCGGTCTTTGCAGGATCTTCAATGACTTGCTGCTGTGGGAACCAACAGCCCCTTCACCTGTGGAGACATTTGAAAACATCTCATATGGTGGCGGGCTTTCCGTGGCCAGTCAGCTGATTAACACCTTCAACAAAGATAGTTTCAGTGCATTTAAGTCTACAGTGCACTATGGTAATGTGTTTAAATTTGTTCTGAATTAATATGCCTGGTTTATCAATATGCAAAGCAGTCAACTTTTCAACTGTGAATTTAAACACGTTTATCTGCTTTCTAATTCCTCTTGTAATTTGTAAGACTGTCTCCCCCTTCAATCCTGTGTCAACAATGCCTTCACTTCGGAATTCTCTTTATAGTGGTAGTATCACGTTGGTCAGTTCAGCGCTAAGGAGAAAGCTGCCGACAGTGTATTTTTCCTGCCACGCCAGGCTTCTTGTGGGAATCAGCAGTTAGAAGCCCCTTGTGATGATTTTAAATTGCTGTGTACTTGCAGTCAGCACCCTCTGACTGTGACTGTATTTCCCACAGACGAGGAAAGTGGATCTGAAGAAGAGAGTGTGCAGTATTTTTCTACCGTTGATCCCAGCTGTCGTTCCCGAAGGAAGAAAAAGTTTGACTGTCAGAACAGGAGCTCACAGAGCTTTCTCTCCGTGCTTCTGAGTGTTAGTCATGGCTTGGTGGCCGTGTTCACAGAAATAAAGGTAAGAACTCACAGTGTGTCTACTGAGCTGACATGCCCAAGGAGGGGGTAGTTGGTGGCTTCTGTGGTGGCAGCAGCTTTGGGGATTTGGCTTTCATGTGAGAGCAAAAGACAGACTTGGCCTGGGCCTCCTATTGGAGAACAGGTGCTGGTTTTGCTGCCAAGAGCGATAACCAATCATGTGCCTGTTATCAAAGAGATGGGGTGCAGGCTTCATTGGCCACCGCGGCTCAGGTCACGTTTAGTGATGGGGTTGTGCATACCCCTGTGTCGGACAGTTCGGCAGCCAGATGATTTTGCTGCACTTGAGAGGTTTCCCTAAGCTCCGCCAAGGAGGAGCATTCCAAGGGACGTTCTTCCTTTCCTGCATTTTAAAAAATGTGTTTCTGATTATTTTATTAGCAAGATGACGATGCCATGTTGGAAAACAAGCATGGTGAATTCTGGCTAGAGTTCAGTAGTGGCTCCTTGTTTTGTGTGACAAGATATGAAGGCTTTGATGACAAGCACTACCTCTGCCTCCATTCCAGTGGCTTCAGTCTGTACCACAAAGGTAGGGGTGGCGGGAACTCGGTGTTTTCTGTTCATGTCGGCTTGAGCGTGCGCAAATCCCTTGTGTGATAAAAGCTAGTGAGAACAGAACTCACTATCAGACATTATTTTCTGTGGGACACTCTGCTTCTGCTCCCAAGGAAAAGCTGATTCTAAACTGACTTTGCTGTTTTGTTTTTGTTTTTTTTTTTTTTGGGTAACAGCTTTATCAAAATACAGTCACATGCCATATGGTTCATCCGTGTGATTTTATCGAAATGAAGTTCACATACCACACAGTTCTACTGCTCGTCTGTCAGTTTGTCATACTGTAGTGGCTTGCGGGTGCTGTGAGGCTGGAGGCTATGCCGCCAGTATTTCAGATACCAGCAGGGTCAACCATGGTGGATAGGTTTCAGTGGTATTTCCAGATGAAGACAGACTGGGAATTAGGACAGGGTCATCCACTTCTGAAAAAACTAGCCACTGAAAACCTCATGAATGGCAGTGAGACACTGTCTGATATGTTACTAACAAAGCTTATGAAGAGCCGTGCAATGCTGTCTGATGTGCCCTAAAATGAGCCCCTCAGATTGGAAGTCACTCAAAGGACAGCTGGGGAACCGCCGCCTCCCCAGTCAAGTCGACCTCGATAACATGTATGGAGTAAAGCTTTCAGGACCTTCATTTGCTTCACTCATGGGGCACAGCTAAAAATGTGGAGAAACAGCTACAAATATCCATTAATAATTGGAACTAGAAATGTACAAAGTATGAATCTAGGAAAATTGGAAATTGTCAAGAACCATTGGTATTGAAGGAAGAATTCCAAACTTCACTGAAGGAATTAGCAAAAAATACGGCTCTGGGAATTGATGGAATTCCAATTGAGATGTTTCAACAAACACCTGTGGCACTGGAGGCACTCACTCTTTTATGCCAAGAAATTTGGAAGACAGCCACCAGGCCATCTGACTGGAAGAGATCTATATTTGTTTATTTATTTATTTTTTATTGTTGTTTTTGTTGTTGTTATGTGCCATCGAGTCGGCCCCAACTCATAGCGACCCCTCCTTGGGTTTCCGAGTCACTACAGAAGTAGGATTGCCCAACCTTCCTTCCAAGGAGTGGCTGGTGGGTTTGAACCACCAGCCTCCTGGTTAGCAGTCAAGTGCCTTAGGCAGGACTTGAAAATATCTTTTTTATTTTATTATTTATTTATTTATTTTATTGTGCTTTGGGTGGTTTACAGAGCAAATTCACTTTCCATACAGCAGTTCACATATGCTTTTTCTCATGTCATTGACCACAGTTTACCACAATGCAACAGCTCCCCTCCCACTTCCTCCCCATAGTTACCTCTTCCCAGTGTCCATCTCTCCATACACTCCTGCCCCCTGAGCTGTCTCCCTGTGCA